TGCCAGGTCGGCGCCTGTGTCAACCGACGGGTCGGTGTCTGGGCCAGGTTGTCAGGCAGGAGATCTTCCTGCGATACGCCAAACTACTCTTCTGTACTGAGCTACCCTACAAGTGGTGAGCTGCCCGGGGGAGCTATGCCGAGCTGCTTGTGGCGAGCTTTTCCGAGCTGTCTGGCTCCTTGGGGGCGAGCTCCTTGGAGAGCTGCCTAGCTCCTTGGAGAGCTGCCTAGCTCCTTGGCGAGCTCTTTGGTGAGCTACCGAGCTCCTTGGCGAGCTCCTTGGTGAGCTACTGTGCTCACGGGTATGCCGTTAATGGTTCTCGGTGGGCGTCTTATAGGTTGCCAGGTCGGCCAGGTCGGATCATGTGCCAGGCTGATCCGGCCAGGTCGCGCAGGCCGCGCAGGCTGCGCCAGGCCGCGTGCAGGCCGCTCGTAGGCCGCGTGCAGGTCACACCAGGCCGTGCCAGGCCAGCCAGACCGGTGCCCGGGTGGGACACCAACTTGGTAAGTTGTTGCCTGGGTGTTTGCCTAGTTGTCACGAGGTGCCACGTGTCGCAATTTCACTGGAGGGCCAAATCTGCCCTCATCATATTCAGTGCCCATTGGGGAGGACTTTCATGCACCAGCTTTTGGTGTTGCAAGGTAGGCCCTACAAGAAAAGCCATGAAGCCATGTTTGGTAAAAAAGCCTAGAAATTACATGTTTTCTTCACAATAACAGTTACCAACCAATCATCTCCAAGACTCATCTGATTACACAAGTTACATGTTATCTTCACAACACATTAAATTTCATCATAAACCAATCACTTCACCAGAAAGTTAACCTTTGAACCTCCTCTTGATAGAAAAATTACATATGATCACTCACTCAGGTGGCGTTTAATAAATCTGAAATTTCAGATCTGAATAGTTAAAAGGTTTTTTTTTTTTGTTTGAAATCTGAAAAGAAGCATGTGTGCTTTTTTACTTTTTAAAGGCTCTGAATTCATAAGTTTGTTTGTGTTGGATCAACCCTTTACCATCTGAAATTTATTGATTTTATTATTCTACCCCTAGAACATACTATTTAGAAATATTGAGTTCAATTTGCATTATGTCATAAATAATAATTTTCAACATCAAAATAACATTGAAACAATACAAATAAAAAATAATGAATTAAAAATTAATAAATGAAATTATTAAAATTTATAAATAATTAATGACTATAAAAATATTAAAATAATTAATAATTTACACAAATAAAAATTAAAATAATTTTTAAAAATTAATGAAATAATTAAAACTTATTAGTTAATAAAAATAAAAAAAATAATTAATGTTTAATAAAATATTAAAATAATTAATAATTAATAAAAATAATTTATAATTAATAATAATCTTATTATTACTACTCATCAAACCATCGCTGCAAGTTGCAGCGGCGGTGGCAATGGTGAGAAGATAGGGAAGAGAGAAAGAGAGAGAAAGAGAGTGAGTGAGTGAGTGAGAGCGAGAGCGAGAGAGAGAGAGAGACAAGGAACTGCCATCGCTGCAACTTATAGCGACAGTAGCAGAAAGATAGGGAGGGAGAGAAGGAACCACTGTCGTTGCAACTTGCAGCGGCGATGATGCGAAGACATGAGAGAGAGAGAGAGAGAGAGTGCAGTGGCGGTGGTGGCAGTGGAACTTCATTAGGTCACAGTGAGGGCTCAATTCGAGTTACATGAAGGATTAAGCAGCCTCTAAATTACGTCCGAGTGCATTAAGCAACCTCTCCACCTCTTAGAAATTAAGATATGAAATCCAGTTTCAGATCTATAATAAGAGGGCATATTAATTAAAAATGGCATCTGAAAAGCAAAGTTTTCAAATTCAGACATCTAAAAAGTACAATCAAACGCCACCTCGCGCTGTGTGTATGTGTTTTTCTCCAAATAGAGTAGGGCTAACAAGAATTACAACATGGGCTTAAATATGGAAAAAAGTCATTTCAAATAGCCCAATGATCCAACCAGGTCGCACTGCAAATGCTTAAAGAAACTAGCATGCAAAAATAACAAATGATGTGGGTGTCAACCAACTAGCAAGTGATGTAGTTGGTAGGGCCTTCAGCTGACTGCTTTGTTGACTAATTGACAACTAGTCATGCTTTGTTAACATTGGTCAGACAACATAACAGAGCTAGACGTAAAAATAAAACGTTAAAAATGTTTAACAATTATCCAAATAACACAATTTAAATCGGTTTCATTTAGTAGGTTCAATGATTAAACAAGAGAAAACTGGGTTTCTTTTGGAAGACAAATAAATAAGGTTCAGGATTGGCATGCCTTTAAAAGCACTTTATAAGCTTTTAACAAGCAGTTGGAAGCTGGCCAAACCCATGAGTCTTGTAAAAAGGTGAATTGCAAAAAGCTTCCTATTTCAGAATTGTTTTTTGAAAATTCCAATTTCAGAATTGAAACCAACAGAATAAGTCCCAACAAAATAGCATAGAAAAAATCAACAAAACCTATATATAAATATATATATATATATATATAATAAAAGTGAAAAGTTTATTAAGAAGAGAAAAAATAAATATAGCAAAAAATGTGATGAGAAATCACCAGATATACGGTCCGAGAAAATAAGAGATGCAAAAAATACAACAAAAAATTCAGACACAAGAATTAATTCCTTGATCCCAGATCAAATAGAGACCAAAAACCATTTTCAAATGCTTCTTATGAAATCCCTCCAACTTCCGGTAAGATGAGAATCCAGTCCATAATTTGTTTACATCATATCATAGAATTTGCCCTCCCCTCGTGCTTTGTCTTAAAAAATTCTTCTGTTTCTCTCCTTCCAAACTTCCCTACAAGTGGAAAAAGGTACACAGCTCCAAGCAAGGTATTTCCTTTTAATGTAGGCCAATGAGCAAAAATGTTTCCCGGGGATCTTGGATCCCAAATGTCAATGTCAAAGAGACCAAAAAAGAATTCCCATATATACTTTGAATAACTACAACCAAAGCAAAGATATAGCAAATTCCCTTTAGCAGCCTACACAGACATCTTCTAGCCACCTGAGGTCCTCTGTTTTGGGTATGGTCTTCTAGACAACTTTTCAATTATCATATTGCAAAAATGCACGAAACATTTGAAGGGATTTATGATCCAAACCATCTTTTGCAATCAAATCCATAATTATAGATGTAGTCATTGAATCTGGTAAGAATCCTCTCTTGGCCATTTCATTAAGAAGTTGGAATGACTTATCTATCTCATGTTTTCGGAGAAATCCACGTACTATGACATTGAAAGTGCAATCATTTGGAGAACAACCCATCTCTCCCATTTTCATCAACAAATTTTCAGCTTCATTCAGCAATCCCAATTGGCACAATCCATCTATGAGAGTGTTGTAAGTAACAGAATCAGGCACCAATCCTCTCTTACACATTTCACTGTGGAGCTGCACTGCCTTCTCTATTCTCTTGCTTTTGCAATAGCCATTAATTAACACGGTATAGGTAAATATATTAGGTTCAAGACCCCTACTCAACATGGAAGCTAAGATTTCTTCTGCCTTGTTCATTTCACCGTGTAAACAGTATCCATCTATCAATGCTGTGTATGTTATAATGTCAGGCTCCACCCCTGCTTGAATCATTACTTCTAATATCTCGTGTGCTTTTGTAGCCATTCCTTTCTTGCAAAGAGCATCCACCAACGAATTGTAGGTCACAATATTGGGTAAGAGTCCTCGTTCCACCATTTCATTTAACGACTTCATGGCTTCTTCCCACATCTCTGAAAGGCACAAGCTATGAATCAAAGCATTGTAAATGATACGATTAGGCTTCTCTCCCTTTTGCAGCATTACTTCAAACACAGCACGTGCTTCACTAAGCCTCCCTTCTTTGGCCAAGGCAACCACCAAAATGTTGTAGGTCACGATGTCTGGAGAGATTCCACAGTCCACCATGTCCTTAAAAATGCTTAAAGCTTCTTTCCACCGGCCAAGATTGCAAAGTCCATAAATTAAAGAGCTGTAGGTCACAACATTTGGTGAGATGCATTTTTCTTTCATTTCATTTAACAACCTCGTGGCTTCTCCCCACAGGCCTGAAAGACACATGCCATGAATCAAAGCATTGTAAGTGATAAGATTAGGCTTCTCTCCCTTTTGCAGCATTACTTCAAATACAGCACGTGCTTCGCTAATCAAACCTTCTCTGGCCAAAGCACGCACCAAAATGTTGTAGGTCACGATGTCTGGAGAGATTTCACAGTCCACCATGTCCTTAAAAATGCTTGAAGCTTCTTTCCACCGGCCAAGATTGCAGAGTCCATATATTAAAGAGCTGTAGGTGACAACATCAGGTGATATGCATTTTTCTTTCATTTCCGAGAAGAGGTTCAGGGCATCGTTTACGAGTCCCTCTTTGCACAAACCATCAATGATTGTGTTATATATGTGTAAGCTGGGTTTACACTGACCCCTTTTCTCCATCTCTCTGAGGATTCCAAGAGCCCTGCAGGTGTTTCGAGTCTTGCAAAGCCCATTAATGATGGTTCCATAAGTGACGTCGTTGTATGGGTAACCTTTGTCTACAATCTTGTAGAACAATTCCATCGCCTGGGCGATCTCATTTCCAGCACAAAGTCCCCTAATCATGGTACATAAAGTCACAACATCTGGTTCATAGCCTCGTTTCAGGATGACTCCAAGTACAGAGAAGCCCAAATCGGCTCGATTCGAGTGGCAGAAGCAATTCATTACCATGTTCAGAGTATAAAGAGTGGGAAGGATTGGTAAAGAACCCATCTTTCTATACAGAGAAATAGCTGTTGTATAAAGCTTCGCTTTCCCAAGAGAAGCCAAAAGTTTATCAAAAGCCCGAACCGGTGGGAAGGGTCGCAAGCGAACCATCTCATCGAATAAAAGCAACGCGTCTTCAACAGAAAGAGAAGCTGGCCTGCGTCCATTTTTGAGGAAGTTGTGCAGCAATTGAGATGTTCCACTTCCACCCATTAAATGGGCAGTGAGGATGAGAAGGGGAAAGGCGAAGACAAGAGATTTCGATTAAGCAGCGTATGGAGGAAGGGGCGCCATTGGCTGCAGACTTCAAAATCCTCTTCCTCTTGTAGCCTGTAGGAGCTCAACTTAACAGCTGTGGCAGTGTGGAGCTACTTCACATGGCAATTGCCGTTTGCCGTCTGCTAACAAACAAGTAACTAACCATGAAAGACTCGGACGGAGTGACGGAGTAATATTAAACGTGAGTACTACACGTGTCACTTGTTAGGACCAAAAGGTTTAATATTACTCCGTGACGGAGTGGGGACGGAGCAGGCTGGGGACGGAGTAACTAGCCAAGGATAGATTAATTCTCATCCCTGTGGATGTTCTTAAAAAACCGATAGTTTTGATTTAGTTTTGGTTAATCATATATATATATAATATTGATGGAGGCAGATTCGGCCCGATCCCTTAGTTGTGCGATACGTGGAAGAAAACGGAGTGACCTGGCAGGAATGTCAGTTCGGCACGGCGACAGCACAGTCATATCCCAAGAAGAGGCCCGAGCTCCCGAGCTCCCCAAGAAGAGGCCCAAGCTCCCCAAAAGGAATCCACACTTCCTGGGAGGTGAAACCCGAGCTCTCCCTAAGAATCCCGAGGTTAACAGAGAAGCCCGCGAGGGGAAAAACCCGGACTAGCCCACCTCAGGTCAGTCTGGACCATATGTCGGCACCTCGAGACAGGACATACTCTCATTCAAACTCCTTCACCTCGCGCACCACTCCGGCACCTCGGCTCCAGGTCGCGCAATTGTGAAACCGTACCTGACAGGTCCGTACTCTGAGGCAGCACGCCTAACTGGTCTGGATCTGACAGATGGCAATCATGCCGTAACAACCACTTGCTACCACCATCTCAGTTGTGGCAGAGACGGCCCTGACAGAGAGGACAGTGGCGGTTATGCCTGCCCCCCATAGAAGCGGTTATACCTGACTTGGCAAAAACTTGAGAGTGAGTGCACCAGGTGGTTATAAAAGACCTTCTTCCCCCAGAGAAAGAGGTATGTGATATTTGTACTTTATTGTCTTGAAATCTTTTATTTTCCCTTGCCTTCTCAAGAGTATTAACTTGAGCTTCGGAGTATTCCCACCGGGTTCCTCCCCGGAAATCTCTAATTTCTTCCTTGTTTCAGGCATCTTCAACTCCGTCAAAGGTAAGGTTACCGGCAACTAAGACCGACCGGATCGTGCATCATCAATTATTTTTTATTTTCTTTTGAAATTGAATATACTCTTTTGCCGATAGATTTTTCTTTCTCTTTGAAAATTTCAAGAGCTTTGAAAATCGAAAATGGAAAGTTTCAAAGAGACTTTGAAAGTTGCAAAGAGAACGAAATTTTCGGCCTTGCCAGAGTGTTAGACTGGAGATTGTTAGTCTCTTAATCTTGAAAAACGAAAAGTTTCAAGCTTTAGCCCTTTCTTCTCTTTTGTCTCGATGGTTTTCTTCCCACCAACAGTTTCTTTGAATCACAATCTCAGTCTCTCACAATCTCATTCTATCAGACTCTCAGTTTCTTCCCCAATAGACCGATGGCCTCCAGTGCTCTGCCCTCTGATCAAATCACTGACGACTCTGATCAAATCACTGACGACTGGCGTCTCCTCTCAGATTTAGCCTTCACTCTCTCGGACTGGTATCTGGCATCTTCTTTGATCTCTCATCTCTCAGTCTTTCTCTCATTCGACACTCACTCGACACTCAGACTCACTGATCTCTGTCAATCTCAATCACTCATCTCTCTATCTCTCTCTCACGTCTCTCACTCTCAATTCACAATTGTTCATTCTCTTTAGATCATCGACAGGGAAGGTTTTTCCCCTTTTTTAATATTGAGGGCATAAAAAACCCAAAAAAGCAAACCACAATTAATCGGTTTCACCGGTTCAGTTTTGATTTAGTTAAAATAAAAACCGTACAGTTCGGTTCACCGAACCGTGAGCACCCCTAGCACGTCGGTAACTTTGAGCTAACATAACATCCAAATAACGGCAAATTGACGTTAAGTTTGAATTATTCGGTTGAACCGGCACTAAAAGACAAAAGCTCAAAGGCTCGTCTTTTGGAATGATTTTGGAATAACATTCGCGGTGCAGCATGAGGACGCGCCAGGTGTTTTTTTGTTTCATGCATGTGATTCAAACGTGTGACAAGGGAGTTCGATTTCAGTCCAGGCACGCTATATACGCCAACGTTCGCACGGCACATGAACGCGCCACACGACGTTTGATTCGTGCGTTGGTTTAATACGTGTAAAATGAATTAAACAGAGTCTTATCCTTTAATGCCGTTAGCTTCTCATTAGTTCCATTCCACTACCTGCTCGAGACTCATTGGACTCTGCCGTCGCCAGTCACTCTCACTCTCTCCCTTTCCAACCGGCGATGATTAATAGCCATCACCGACGACACCCTCAGGTGTTTTGGACTCTGTCCTGATAGAAGCCGGACTGTTATCACCGGCGACTGATAGAAGCCGAACTCCTGTCAAAGGTAATCATTCAGATTCGCCTACCCTTGCTGAACAAGCAAGAACGGAGGATTCAATGGGCAAAGGAGTCCGATGAGAGAAGAGATGGCCACGGGAAAAAAGAAGAAGTGGAGGTGTCATCGTCATTGTCTCGTGTTTTCTCACTCTGCCGCTTGGGGAGTCAGTTTCAACCTTCAATCTGGAGAATGCCGTCTACAGCCATGGACTGTTCATGGCGGCGTTGAACCAATGCGACCCATGACTAAGACCTATCTTCCAGCGCCCATTGAGACTCTCTGATGAAACCACTTCCATCCTCATCTGCATCTCCCATCCCCCAAATCCCCTTCTCTCCATGTCCGCGTTCTCGGCACCACTTCCCTCTCTCTCGATGATCCAGAAGGTCTGTTGGTACTCAACTATCTACCTACTACTTGTAGTGTTGTTGCCCTTGTTTCTCTTCCTCCAGTTTATTAACTTAGTGTGTGATTGTTAATTTCAGGCTCCGGTAGCGCGAATGCCGTGATTGTCGGACAATGATGAAAGGAATATAAGGGAGTTTCACAAGATCCACCATGAAGCCAAGGAAAGGGATTTTGGCTGGAAATCACAGAAATCTACGATGATAATAGAAACACAGAAACAAAGTTTCAGTCAAACCTGAAATCACAGAAATCTACAACAAAAAGTTAAGTAGCAATAGTAATTCACTACAGGGATGAAGTCATAAAAAGAATTTCACAGAGATCTAAATAACAAGGTAAAAAAAAATCCACCAAGGCTGTGTTTGTTTGAGGTGTAAAAACAAGTTTACACCGAAGAAATATCACTACCGGTTTGATGAGTGTAAAGGATGTTGGTCCCATTTACACTGATCATGTTTGGGGGGTTGAGGTAAATGATACGTTGCACTTTTGCGTGACACCTCATGAGGGTAAAACTCCACCTATAATAATTAATAACTTTGAATATTTAATATTGAAATACAAACAAATTATTAGTGACGAGAAGCTGGGTGCCTCCAAAATTAACACCAACTGAAATGCTCGAAACTCAGTTTCCAACACTGACAAACATAACTCCATCTGGAATTTTGAAATAATGAAGAACTTCCGCTTACTAGTGGTGAACATCACTCTGCACCCATTTGAAGGAACAAAGGTATGAGGAGAGGAAGATGTGGCTGAAAGTCCAACCAAGGTGATGTTGTTATGCAACCAACTTCTAGCCCTGTACAATTGTCGATCAGCCGATTGCAGGCCACTCTATTGAAACTCTATCATCCGAAATTGCAAATGTATCTTCTGATGGAGGTCATGTGGATGAAATGGAGATGGGTTTTCCTTCTTCAAGCAAAACTTTAAGGTTTTCTCCAAGGCCTAGGTATGGGCAAGTAGGGATGAAGTGCATCGTAAAGGCGGTGAATTTCTGAATTAGGCGGAGAGGAAGAAATGAGAGGGAAAATGCTCGAATGAAATGGGATGCTAAGGTGGCGTTTGATAACGCTTTTAGGAGGTCTGAAATTTGAAAACATTACTTTTCAGATTCCAGGAAGTGTTTGGGTATGCATCTAAAAGTTGACCTGAAATTGCATTTCATATCTGAAACGTTTAGACCACAGCCATCACTAAACGCAATCAAACACGTTTTAGATGCATTCAAAAGTCTAAAATACCCCTAATAATATTCAAATAGACATCCCATTTTAAACCCAAATTTCTTCTCACTCGAGATCCAAACCGACATAGCGGACAAGTCTCTTCACGATCTAGGTTTCCGTTCCAGTGATCAACGGCGATGAAGAACACAAAAAAACCTATATTATTCCAGCAATTCTAGCGATCATTTGCAATCAACGGCAATGGACAACTGTGACATCAGAGTGAGAGAAATGGAGAACTCGAAAAAGCCTATAGTCAACGGCGATTGAAAACTCATTTCCGGTACTCTCTCTCTCTCCATGTCTTCCTGCCACTGCCGTTGCAATTCTCAACAACGACGATCGATTTTCCTCTCCCTCCCTCTCTCTCCCCCTGTCTTCTCGTAGTTGCAGCGCCCTGTTTCAACAACAAAGTTCGAATGTACACCAAATTAATTATTGATTATTTTAATTTTATTAATTATTAAATATGTTAATAGTTTTTATATTAATTTGCTAATTATTAAATATTTTTTAATTACTTCATAGTTTTTATTAATATTTATATCATTATTTTAATTCTTAATAATTTATTTTTAATTTATAAATTTGTGTATTTTCCAATTTTATTCTTATTTTAATAATTTTTTACTTTTATAATTTTTATTGATATTAATTATTAATTATTTTTATTTTTTATTGATTATTAAATATTTTAATAATTTTAATTTAATAAGTTGACAATTACTAAATATGTTTTCATTACTTCATGGACTTTATTACTATTTTCGTTATTATTTTAGTTCTTATTAATTTATAAATTTATATGAATTTTTCAATTTTATTCTTATTTTAATATATTATTTTTACTTTTTTATGAAATAATGCAAATTGAACTCAAAATTACCAAATAGTCTATTTTAGGGGTAAAATAGTAAAATTAGGGAATTTTAAATGTTGAAGCATTGATCCAACACACACGAACTTATCTATTCAGAGCCTCTA